ATATTGCTAAACCGAGTAAATAAAACTATGATTCATTTCTTTATGGAAAACCGGTAAAGAAGAAAACAGAGTTACTATTGCAATCAAAAATGCTGCTCACAAAGAAACGACTGCTTTAATAACTGCATATATAAAAATACTGATATCATCTTTTCTCGATATATGGGTATTTATATTTTAAAATATAAAAGTTAAAAGGTTAACCCAGTTTTTAAAATATATACTTGTATTCTAATGGACATTACATCAGGTATTGTTAATGATAGAGACTAAAAATGAATTGAGTATTAGTGATAGTTGTCAAATATTTAACAACTATATAACATTTAGTTGTAACATTTGTTTACATTTATGTACTAATATTTAGTAATGTTAATATTATTTAAGTGGCATTTTTTTTTTAATTTTGTAACAATTGTATTTGTCTTCTATTTTTTATATTTTATTTGGTAATTAAATTTTATTTAAAAATCCAAATTGGTATTTTCTTGGAAGCATTTTTAAAAAATTTAATCGCGCTCCTCATATCAAAGGTATACGTATGATATCTATTTTCGTTGAATAAAATTTCGTAGAACAAACAAAAATAAATATTATCATATATATTTATGAACTAAAAATCGGAGAATTAGGAGTTTGAATTTATAGATTAATATAATTACATTTAAAAAAATAAATTTTAAAATTTTTTTTGAGATATTTTAAAAACTGGAATTTACTGATTTTAAGAAAAAAATTGCATAATTATTAATAATATTAATTTATCGAATGTATTTTAAATCCTGCGATTGACAGGAATCAAGACTTCGACTCTCCTTGAACCAAATAAAATATGGAATCTTGAATAAAGAGATATTGATAGATTTGTCAATAGCCTTAAATTGTCTACGTTAGCTTAGAGCACTAGCTTAATGAGTAGCACAAAGGAAGCTTTTAGGTCACAATGTATAATTATCCATTTTAAAATATAATAATTCTATTATGATAAGTTTTATTTGCCAATCACTTATTTGACATATATAAAAATGTTGATTCTTTTCTATTATTAATTGTTTTTACTTCATTAGTGCAGTAAAATCCATTATGTGTTATAGGAATGAAAAAAAGAATTGAAAATTTATTTTTTTTAAGCATTATACATATATTTTTAGTAGAAGTGACAAGGTTCTTTTACTGATAGGTCGATTTTAGGTACAAACACCACCTCAAAAATCATTAGATTTTTTTAAATTTAAAAAAAAAAGAACTTAGTATTCTTTGAACATTTATAATAATACTCGTAGCAAAACGTTCCTCAATAATAAAAATAGCTAGGGGATTATAATAACCTAAGGAAGTTGCTTCTGCCTCTTACTATCAATTAACTTGAAAAAATTTATTTCTGAATAAAATAAAAGAATTTCATCACATTTTACTCGGTTTCTTTTAAATTTTGATCCACTAAATAATATAAAATAATATATGCAATAAATAATATATTGTAATAAATATTACATTTATATTTATATGCAATAATATTCAAAAAATTAAAGAACATTTGTATAGATCAAAAAATTTTACACGTAATAATATATGATAAAAAATATTAAGTCCACTGTTTCTAATTTTAATTTAAATATTGTAAATAAAAAATATTTCATATCTGCAAGAATGTAATTAAATAAAATTGCTGAAAAGTGAACATGAAAGACATTAATCATTTAAAATATAAGGTAGTCCTTGATAGTGAACTATACTTTGATCAACACGGTTTATGATTATACATTATTAAATTATTATTATCTAAAAATTTTTAATATATATAATATATCCACATTAGTTTAGAAGACTAGATCAGTTATACTCGTTAAAATTGATTATGTTCTATTAATCTTTGGATAATCTTTTAACAGGAATAGTGCATATCTGAATGTACCTTATTATTCTGGAATCATCCATAAGTATAAGTACATTAAAATAATAGTCTCACAATCCAAATATCTATAAAAAATATAAAATTTTGATTATAATACGTAAAATACACGAACACCTTTTGAGTTCCCTTTGATCAAAGAGTAAGCTTTGATCGGCCATCTAAATATTGTTTTTGTAGTATATCATTATCCATAGGTCTATATTGCTCTACTAATTCTAATTCTATTGTTACTATGTCGTCACAATAGTGGTATGCCCGGTTTGTACGGATATTAAACAATCTTCCTTATGTACCAGACCGTTTTTGACCTGGAACTTTATCGGAAATACATATTTATTTAACATATTTAGGACTTTACAAGCTACTAACACTTTCGGGTGAGAAAACGTTTTCCTGTTTCAAGACCTTGTATTTTGTAATTATTATTATAAATAAATTGAAGAAACATTAAATAAAAATTAAAGAAATAAAAAGTTTGATTTGAAATATTTATCGTAATGTATGGTAATAACTTTATCAAATTTTTAGCATGAATGGTGTATGTATATTTCTGGAAGTATGGAATAAATATATAACCTCCCTAGTATTTTCTAGAATACTCGAGAAAAGAAATAAAAAAATATTAGAGTTCTTCTTTTTGGTTCTTGCTCATATATATATATATATATACATATACATATATATATACATGTATATTATATAATGCACTATATATTAAATGCAATGTATACTATAGTAATTTCTATTAGATAATACATGAGAACACGTGATTACGCTACCACCTGGCGATCATCATTTGGCATTTATATTCTTGGCAAGGCATCGCTGTCACTTTCTAAAGCCAAGAATCTAGCTATGAGAAGTATTTTCACACGATTTATTAATCTAACAAACACCTGATCTAAAATACTAGTCACTAGAATATATAAAATATTCGATTCCGGTACTTAACTTTAAATAGGATTGATGTTACTGACATTTCCAGATCAAAATACTACAAATCTGTTAAGCAGTATTTTGAAATTAAGCGATAATGCTATATAACATATTGTATCAAGGAATAGTTACTAAAGCTCTCCTTAATTGCAAAAGCAGAATTGGGAAGAGTTGAGATGGCTTCTTAGTATCAATTGTTACACATCCTAGTATATTGTATGGTATATCCAGCTCAAGGTATTGCCTATATGAGTACTCTAGACGTCTACAGTCACTAATATTTGCAACTTTATTAAGGGAAAATGAAGTGTGGAAAAAGATGTGTATAATAACATTTTTGCAAAATAATCTTATTGCAATACTAAACGTACTTCAGTATTTGAATACTATTGATGTCATCACTAATATAAGTATATATTAATAACGGTTATAAATAATTCCACTTAGTCTTGTAAAGTTAATATTTCAAAGTACTTTCTGATAAACAGCAATGATGCAATTAATCTATTTGATTACAAAGTTGTAACGATATTATGTAGCAAGAAATGTATAATAGAGATTTTCTGTATACAATTTTTAAACTATATACAAAATTTCAAAGATAAATCTAAATTGATACGGTTTGGAAACTAAATTAAGAGAATAGGAAGAAAAGCCTTCTCTTAGGTAGTATATTTGAAATATCACACTTAATTCCAAGTAATCAATTAACTAAGAAAGTAACTTAATAAGTTAGTAGATATGTGAGTAAATTAGTTAAAAAGTGAATAACCAAGTAATTAAGTAAGTAACAATTTTAATTAATTAAGCATGTAATTAAGTATGCTAAGTGAGTGAATGAGTAACTAATTAAATAGGTAAGCAAGTAAATATATGGGTGAAAAATTAAGTAAAGAAGTAAGTATATATGCAAGTATGTAAGTAAGTAAGAAAGTAAGTATGTAAATAAGTAAGCAAATAAGTAAGCAAGTAAGTATGTAAGTAAGCAGGTAAGTAGGTGCACAATTAAGTAACTAACTAATTTAATAAATTAAAAAGTAAATATCTAAGTTACTTAGGAAGTAAGTAACTAAATAACTAAATATAGTTAGTGCGGATTCTTGTTATAATATTATAGGAATTATTATTAAATTCAATTAGTTTTAGTCTTATAGAAATAAATTAGTGTACTTAGACTTACAAATTTGACACTAATATCTCAATAAGTATCCCATATTTAAAAATCGAAAAGCACGCAACTATAATAAAATCATCACCATTTGGGTCTGATTACTTGTCATTGTAGAATTGTATGTGGATTAATTAAATGATAACTAAATTAAATGATTAAAATTTTTACATGTCAAGTATTCTTGTTTAAATATTTAAGTATTAAATAAAACAAGATATGAATAGAATATATTATAATTAAAAACTTATCTGATACTAAGATTAAGATTTCTATGCACACCTTTCGCAAAATTCTTAAGGTTTTTTTGAAAGAATTACTTCCAGTTTATTTATGATCGCGCACTTGAAGTTATTAAGTAGATGTCAATCACTAAAACAACCTTTGCGACATTTCAATAAAAATACGTAAAAACCGTTGCATTTAAATAAAATATTATTGCCAAAAACTGCTTTACCAAAAGTTACTATATGATAACAGTCCAAAACAGATTAATTTTTGTTAAATCAAATCGAACATTTCTTATTTCTCATCGAAAAGGGTTTGTAAAAAGTAACTGGTGCTCGTATATACCTATATTCATAACTAATAATTAAAGCAATAATCCAAACTGCAGATCTATATATATATATTATAAAGAAGTCTTAAGAAGTATTGTTAACATAATAATAAATCGTTGATAGGAATATAAACACCTATTCTGTCTTAGTACAGGCGCACATAGAACCCAATTTTTGGGACACTTGATACGCGTTGTATATTTTTCTTATCAAAAATTTCACTTTTTGCTCAATCAAAACAATCATTTTATTACTCATTCAATTATTTATCAATAAAGCTTTGAATACAATTTTTTTTCCAAAATCCATTCAACTCTTTTCACAAATTCTTTAAGAGAAACAGTTAGTTGCTCTCCGGCCTTGCTATTGTGAATTTTGAAATTTTTTTGAATATAAACAAAGTATTTTTGTTTGTTTTATAAACAAAGCTTTTAAATAACACTAGAAAATATAAACAATTTCTTATAAATTATAACTAAACAATTTTAATAATGGGATCTCAAACTTCGACGATGGCACTCGGACATTAATCTTCTTCTCCTTGGACCTATCAGTAATTCCTCCTGCGCTTTTTCGAGTTCTTCCTTCTCTCTTTTAGCATCAGCAGCAGCTTTCTTGATGTACATAACTCGGAAGAATTCAACAAAATCAATATTCTCAACTTTACCACACATTTTCTGCATAAACGGAAAGTATCTAGGATATTCCTTATATTTTAACATTGCATTGTACAAGGAGGTGCGTTGTTGTTCTTCATGTAAGTATCTTTTATGTGCTTCCTTATGCAGTTTCCAATTGATTGAACTCATTAATTTTCTTTGTTCAAATAGAAGATTCGGTTTCAGGAAAGGGAATAGTGCTCTAAATATTAATATTGGAGGATTACATATATAGAATTAACTGAAAACAAAACATTGTAATGCTTACTCCTTGAAATGATAGCGCTGGTGTTTGAAATCAATTGCATCAAATGGGTCTAAGAATTTATGTATTTCGCTTGTGCTTCGTAATGCCCTAGGCACTTTGCAATACGTGCTAAAAATAAAAATATATTATATGAATAATTAATATATGGATATGTATACATTTCTATTGTTTTAAAAATAATTTATGTAAATATATTTAATAGTAATAGTTAACAATAGTAATAGTTAACTACTTCAAAAACATTCCTGTATTTCAAAAACTTCAATAGATATATTATTCTAAACATTAAAATGAACATCCAAAAGGATTATTTAAAGTATTATATATAAACTGATTAAATAATTGGATAAGTTAAATTTATTTGTAAATTATTTAACATTTCAGAGTAGAGTAATTAAAGTCAATATACGATTGTTTTTATCTTTTCTTAAGTAAGTTCCAGTAAAAACAAGCCCTATGATACATATGAGCGTGAAAGTAAAGATTATAGTATTCAGATCAATTATTAGATCGTAATTGCAAGTGGAGGAAGAATTTCGCTTCAGCACATCTATTTGGAATATACACTATGGTCGTTAGAAAAAGGTGATGAGTATTTTTACTTTTTAGAACCATAAAACATCCTTCTCGTTTGCTTAAACTAACTTTTGTGTTAAGAAAGGTCTATTCTATTAGCATTAAAATTATTAAGTTTTATTATCAAACTGGCATTTACCAAATAAAAAAATATATTGAGCAAGTATTTATTCTTTTTTTTCCAGCAACATACTTCAGTATGGATTTAAAACAAGATGATATAGGATTCGGCAGGTACACTTAATATGTGATTTATTATCCTTGGGTAAGATCTTAAATATACTTTGTTTTTTCTTCTTAAAAAATTTTTTTTTTTAATTTTTCATAGTCATTGAAAAGTTCAGTTAACAACAAAATTGATGTACTTATAACTATAGCTTCAACATCTCTCACTCTTATTCAATTTGTTTTTAGTTAAGTGTACAAATGGGCTCTTCCATCTAAATTACTAGAAAACTATTTATTATATCATTAATTTATTTTTATTTATTATTTATTTACACGAGAAATTTTTGTTGTAACCCAGATTTAAATTACAGTTTGATACTGGTTAAGAAGATTATAATATCTCTTGCGTTGATTTTATTAGGGCATATAGACTAAAGAGATTTCTTTGGGTAAAAATTAATTACGGGATGTTTTGAAAATTTATGATTTTTAAGCAAATATCACATCATCAGTAAAAATCATCTTGAAAATATTAAATCCTCTAGTATTGTTTCCTAATCAATTCATCACTACTCACACTATAACCGTGATTTTTTAAAATTAAATAGATGGCATCTCAAAAGGGAAAAAATAAGTAGTTATTAGGCTTGAAATATAATATAATGATCACAACACTTATACTATATTCAATATACCATATATCAATATATGCAATATATATATTGAGATATATCTCAATGGATACATATTCCATTATATATTCTAAAGCTGTAAGTTTATGTGATCACACACCATTCTTGTGATGTGAGGATCAATAGGTGGCCAGATATACCAAGATGAAAAGTTAATAGGAAATTTTTGTGTTGAAATCGACTTTAGTGGTGGGATATAATCTACATTTTTTTAAAGAAGAAAGCTAGGAATTAAAGATAAACCGTGTCGGATTAGTTTTGTTTTCTAGGAAGTGAAAAGTCTTATGAGATCCATATGAAGTATTTAATGCAACACAATATAAAGAATAATAAATGTTGAAGGAATTTTTGAAACAGATCTCAACCCTGCATTAAGGTTGTTTAAGTCTCATGCAGTATGAATATTTGTAAAAAGTTTTTCACTATACTGTAATACTATATAGTAATATTCATTTTATGTGTGCTGTATAAAGCATATAGATTATATGAGTTTGCAGTACGATTTTCTTACCAATAGCTTTCTAACATAGAAAATATTCTGCGTTCGAAGATAGTTTGCGTTTAAGTAAGTCTTCTTTAAAATACAATACCGAAATACTTTGCCTCCGTCGCATATAGGTGGAGAAAGAGTTGAAACCAAATATTCCTTAGTAAATACATTCTGCTCAAAAAGTATCCGGATTTTGTTGTTTGTTAACTACTCCTTAAGTAATAGACCTTTTTCAAAAATTTTTTATGTTATGTTGGTACACCCTTTCTTGACATATGGTACAAATTTGAGCGCCATCTGTCAATTAGTTTGTTTACAGCAGATGTTAATGTGAGACTACCTCAAGTGCATGTCGTTTTTTACTATGGAAAATTCTTTTTTCTATAGTGTTTTGACCAACACGGCAACTTTGTCATCGCTCAGGCACCATATTCGCCAGATCTGGATCCGTGTGACTTTTTCTTTTTCCCGAAACTCAAATTGCACCTTTGTGGTAAGCGTTTTGAGTCAATTGAATCGGTAAAAGAGAATTCGCTGAAGGAACTAAAAGCCATACCTTCACGGGCCTACGAAAAGTGTATGGAAGATTGGGTTAAGCGTTAGCATATGTGTATCGCTTCTCGAAGGAGCATATTTTTTGAAGGAGATAAAATAAATTTGAAATAAAATTTAAATTTGTGTGTTTTATTTACAAAATCCGAGTACTTTCTGAGCAGAAGGTATTAACATTTCAATTTTGAACATTTACATATTAAAAATCTGAAAGTATATAAAAGTATTAACTCGGCTAGAGTACATTGAAAAATTTTATTTTCTTTGTAATTGTAGATCAAAGACTTTTCAAAGAGATAACCAAAAAAATTGAAAATTTTGAGTTTCCTAGTGTAGCCTCATAATTCTTTTTTGTTGGATGTAACCACAAGTCCGATAAATAATTAAGTATTCACATAATATTAAAGATTGTATATAAATATACAATTCTGCAGTATTTCTATAAATGTTTAGGCAATGTGATTTAATATATATTGATCTCTTCAACCTTCTGTACACCAATGCACTTAAAATTATATTCAATTTTGTGGTAATTTTAGATTAAAATATTGTATGGGTATTTAAATTATTTAAAATCTATATTTTAAATTACTGTCTTCGATTGATACGAAGAGTTTTACTACAGAAATATAATAAATATATTAATTAATTGTCAACGAAATGCAAATTTAAGCACGTATTAAAAAAAATGTCATGAACATAATTATGATAATATTCATGAGATTTTAAGAATAAATATATACACTAAAAAGAAAATATGATCCATGCCATAAAACAATTTGATGTTAGTTTTATTCTATACCATATTTCATATAAAATCTATCATATTGTGTATGCACATGCATACTTGCTC